AAATGTAATGTGAACGTTCACACAAAAAGATCGGATTTTTTCAAAAAATCGGAACTGAGCATTAAGACCTGCAGTGTGAACGTAGCCTTAGACTACACCTGCCCCTCAGATAGACAACTCAGCCTTCAGGATCTTTGGCCTTGGTTAAACCAGAATGATGAACAGAGAATTATGATTAACAGCAGAAATATTACTATTATTTATTAAATGAGAAAAAGCTTTTTAAAATAATGAAAATAACATAACATGAAAAAGTCTTCAATTTAATTTGTATTTAGGGCTGGGTTAAAAAAACCGATTTAATCAATCTGGATCGATTCTCGTTCAAATTTGGGAAGATCGATTCATAAACCACGAGATTTATTTTTTCCCCATGGGTGTTGTCTGCGATGAAGCTGCGCGTTTCCGTGTTGTGTGTCACTACTGGCTTGCCATAGGTTTACATCCGGTTGACGTTCAGCACTGATGTTAGCTCCCAACAACAAGTTGTCTGGGGCAAAACAAAAGAAACAAAGGAATCACCAACATTACAGCTGATTCTCGGCTGAACTTAAAGATAACAGAGGCCATGACAACTTTTGTTTGCAAAGTTTTGCTCTCAGACGCCGTAGCGGGAAACAAAGTTTCGACTTCGAGCGGCTYGTTCCGGTGGTCAGACGAAAACTACAGTATGTAAACAGCTGACTGAAACTGTTCTCCTGTGTATATGTGTTTGAAAGAAGTCAGTCTAACAAAATCGTTGACTTTTGTTACCAATGTTATTTATAAATTTTAGAAACATCTTAATGTAATTCACAGTGATGCAATGTTTTAGCTGAAGTACTCTTTCTTTCTTTCTTTCTTTCTTTCTTTCTTTCTTTCTTTCTTTCTTTCTTTCTTTCTTTCTTTCTTGTTAATAAGTTTTACTGAACAGAAGCTAACAAAAACATTACAAATATATAATTTTCAAATGCTCAAAAGAGTGGACATAAGTACACTTATATTAGCCCGTCTCTTCTCCTGCAACCTTATTCCCATCACTTCTTAGTGATCAAGAAAATTATTCTTAGTATCCAACAACACTTTCTCTTGCCATTTGTTTTTAGTTTAAACCCTTTGAAACATGAGACAGTTTTGTTTCAAGATTCAACTCCAATTTACAAGTTTGCCCTTTATGTTTATAATTTTACCAATGCACCAAATTAGAATTAGTTTCTACTTTTTGCAGAATTAGTTCCTTTGAGAATGTCTTCAATATCAAAGTAAATGTGTTACTGCATGCTATCCTTAACTAATTTAAAAATCAATCAAACTGAATCATGAATCGTACTGAATCGGTGTGAATCGAATCGGGCCCCTGTGAATCGAATCAAATCGATTTGGGAAATTTGAATCGATACCCAGCCCTATTTGTATTAGTTGAATTGTATGTATCTCTCACTAAAAAAACTAAGCTATGTAGTCATAAAACCATTTTCAGAACCTGGAACGTAACTGTGGTGAAGCCGATTATATGCAAAAGYAGCCTGCCATTCAGGTGAGCTTCCCCATGCTGCTGGGGTAATCTGCTGCGTTCCCAGAACCCGACTGCAAGATGGACTTTACTACTTAGACTTAAGAGCAAGCAACCATCCACATTTAATTTCCACACTTAACAAAAAAAGATTTTTCCGACTCAGGTTTGAAAGAAAAAACACACACAGAAAAAAAACAAAAAACATGGTTGATTCACTATGCGCCAGAGCATGTGTGTGTGCGACTGAGTGCGTGTCCCCATGAGGATAGAAAAACAAATGTGTGTGCACACGTTAGGGCTGGGCGATATGACCTAAAATCAATATCATGATATATTGACCAGTTCACCTCTAACGATAAATGCACGATAACTCTTACCACCCACCACCACACACAAGTACATGGTGTAGTATATTCATAACACTATACACTGTGTCCATGTTCTTAGTCAAAGTACAAAGTTTAGATTTTGAACAGCTTTTCTGTAGTTTACATTTGTCATTTTAGTGTTGTCTTTTGTACTGCACAAAATAACTTAAATACAATTTTTTTTATTTGTTAGACTGATTTCTCTGAAAATAACAATTTCTTTCATAAGATTATATTATTCAGAGAGCTCATGTAATCATTTAATACTATTTATTCTTCATATTTGATCATTTATTGAATCACAGAGCAGTTCAGTCACAGTATGGTTCTAAATATAAGCAACAAAAAATAAACTACAAAACAACAGAGTTTTAGTTTAGTTTAGTTTAGTTTA